CCCGGGGGCGCGGCGGCGGGTGCCGCCCCGCGCCCCCGCCCGCGGGCTCCGGCTGGAGGCTTTTGTGTGGAGCAGGGCGGCGGGGGCCTAACGTGTTGTGTGTACCTGCGGGTGAGCGAGTTGTGCTCTTGGTGTGTGACTGATGTGCAGATGCAGTGAGTGGAATTGGTTTCGAAGCATCAGACTGAAACCATGAATGCCCTTAATTTAGTGGTGAAAGGCGTAGTCCTAACGGGACAACGGGCCTGTTTAAATGCCGTATTATTCAGCTGCCTTTGTAGAAACGACAAGGATGGATAAAACCGTGTGAAGTGAAAAGGGAGAGTAAGCAAGGCTCTTGCTGAGTGCTTTTCAGTGCTAAGGAAGCATTGTGTTCTTCCTTCAGATATCTTCTTGGCAAAGGGCTCTGCTACTCTGGACAAATTGAGGGACCTCTGTAACGAAGGGAGAGGACATCCTTCCACGCTTTTGCAGCTCTATACACAGGTAGTGTATTTAAAGCATTAAGAAGCCCCTTTCGAGAAAACCTACTGTGTAGGGTATGGGAGAGGGTTGGGTGTAGGAAAGGGGTACAGCAGAAAGGCATCTCTGTTACTTGGTGTGTGCAGTGAACATCCACAAAGTGCAGGGCTCCTTTTGTCTGGATTAGAAGGTAACTTGGAGTTGGTAATAATTGCGCCGGTACTGTAAGGAGAGAAAGGCTTTTGAGTTTATGTTCGCTGTCAACAATATTACAACACTTTTAACTTGCAGCTTTTGTAAACTAAATGTAAAAAATTACCTTAAAATTGTAATGTTTTGTAAACTATAACAAGTTTGTATGTTACTGCACACCACCATTTGATTGTTTTGCTGGTAGCATTTTTCCATTGTGTATCTTCTTGTTTTCATAGGCTGTCTTAGACATCACATATTTTGAGGAAAACCAGCTTGTGGATGAAGATTTTCCAGAAGAATCTTCCTTGCAAAAAGTTAAAGAACTTATTTGTATTCTTTCAGAACCAGAAGACCTAGTGAGGGAATGCAACATAAATGAAGAAGTGAGTACTAATGTTACTTAGCCAGAGAATTAGTTATTTCATTATTTAAAAATCAAAAATCTGAAACAGGATAGTGGTATTTGTATTTTTGATGGCAGAATGTAAGACCTTTTGAAAAATTTTCAAGTCTTACTTGTGTTTAAAGAGTGATTCCTGAAAATGTTTTTTCAAATAACTTGTGGCACGCTCAGAATTTTTCTTGCTAACACTTCATGATTCTATGTGCTTTTGGGAGTTTATATCCAAAGTATTAGGCTTGTCTCTGTGACTGCTGCTGTTAAGTACAGCCTCTTAAGTCAGAGACTTAATATAAGACTGTTGGCATGTGTGAGTATATATATATATGAGTGGTTTAGATGGTTTACTTTTGGGTTAGCCCAGTTTGTTGGATTTTATTTCAGCCCATCAGCATCCTTGGTGCAGAGTTGTTAGAATGTCTTTACTGGAGAAAAGGAGCCCTGCTTTACATGTATTGTCATACAGCAAAAGAAAGGAGTGAATGGCTACAAGAAAACATTGCCATATTTAAAAAGGTAAAGGAGATGGAAAAAGTTCTATGAGCATGTGAATACAGTTTTAAAGTTTAACTCTTTGCTTTTAAAATACAGCTGGTTTTTTGTTTCCTTTTAAATAGGTTTTTGGGAAATTCAGTGAGAAGTATTTCTGGCTATCATTAAATTAATCAGAACTTGTCTAAAACGTTTTTTTTCCCCTCATTTTTTTAACTGTACTCAGTGTCTTAATGATGGAGTTCATTACTTGATGAAGATGTTTAGCTTTAGATGCCCTCTTCAGCTAAATGAAGATGTCTCACTTCAAGATAAAGACACAGCTAGATTACTCAGTGAAGGTAAAAAAAAACCCCCAACTCCAAAAACCCCACAACCTGCTCCTCTTAATAACTGCTCCACTTTATTAAATGCTTTATTGTGTATTTTTGTTGTTGACTTCATTTGTATTCAAAAACTGTCACTTTTTAGACAGACAAGGAGGCAGCAGCGCTCACTCCTCTTCCCCCCCTTCTCTTTGACTCACGGATTTTAGGAGGTGGCAGTGCTCATTTTCTCTATGTTTTTGAGTGCACTGGAGGAAAGTGGACTGAGTGGTATGGGTGTCTTATGCACAGCATGTGTGTTTTACAACCATCCCATTGTCAATTGACAAGTGCTGAAGCACAAATATGACTGCAGAGGGTGCTAGATGTTCCCATGTTGGTCTTTCTGTTTACATCTAGGAGAACACAGATATGAACACAGAATTACTGACTTCACACAAGTAGAAAGTATGTGCAGAATTGGTTAGATTAGGCAAACTTTTATTCTCTCTGTCTCCACTTAATGTAGCTTTATGTAAGTTGCATTGCTATAGTACATTTACATGAGGATCTGAGGCTGCATCAGTGTGATGCAGGTAAGGTGATGCATCAGGAGGGGATTTGTAAGGTAAAACAGCTGGCGCTGAGGATGTGATGTCCACATTGTACACACTCAAAACTAGCTCTACTCTGGCTATGGGGGGATGGAGCACCTTCTTGCTTAATTTCATCTGAAAGTGGCATTGCTCCAATTCAGCTACACAGTGCAAAGCCAAGTTCAGTAACTGATCTGTAGATTTATTTAGCAGGACTTGTTTTTTTTTTTTTTTTTTTTCAGTGGTCATGGACACATATGTGGCTTTCTATTCAAACACTAAAGCTGCTGCTGGTTAACCTGAGTTAAGATGAAGCTCAAACAGCATCTTTTAGGCTTAAGTTGTGGGAGGCACAGAAGTATTCTAAAATACGTATGCATAATTATGCCTACACTTAACAGATTGTAAAGAAATACTGAAGTTCTCCAAGACGAATAGGCAAACACAATTATGAGAATAATATTTATATGGCAATCTTAAAGATTTTAGCATTATGGAGGGGCAAAAGGGATAGAGTAATGATCAAGGCCTTGATCCAGGTTCTCTTTTAGGCAGTGTCAGTCATCTTATGGTTAAAATTTGTTTTTTTGGTGTAGCTCTTTAATAGGCTTATACTACCTTTTTTCAATTTTTATCCAGTGAAAGAAAAAATTGAAGTTGACAAGCTGTGTACTTTCTTAGAACAATAAAGTACTTGATCTAAATTATTTTTGCAGGTATATTTAGTGACACTCACTTACTGGCGCTGATGTACAGTGGAGAAATGTGCCACTGGGGACTGCGACACTGTGGAGAAGGGAAGCAGGAAT